TAAATGTTGAATTAGTGGTTGCAAACACTAATTTGTGCCTTTTTGACTTAGGCTCTTCTTGAGAAAGAGAGCCCAAGTTTAATAAATTCAGGCCAACAAGGAATTGGGGTGCATTCTATCTCATTCAAGAGATCGATAGCCCTAATTAAAGGGTTAAATCTAGAGTAGTAATACACAACTTGAGCCAACTTTGGTTGCACAATGTGAACACCCAATTGGACTTGAGAAAGCCAATTAGGGCAAAGTCACTCAAACTACCGAGAGGTATAGAGTGAGTAGTTTCGTGCATTGGCTATATCACGATCCCAACTATAACAATTTTGCCCTAAGTTTTAGATCCCGTTAGTACTCTCCTAGGAGTTAGTCACTTCCCTAGTGCCTTTCCATCAATTAAGAAAACCTTACAAAAATATCATATTTAGTCTAATTACTTGCATCATCAGTATAAAAATAGAATAGTGAACAAACAAGAATGAATGGAAGTGTAATTACGAACATCGCACATTGCTAGATTAGATAGGAACCCAATTCCAAACCTTTCTTAGCTCTCTGTAGATTTGATCCCAACTTATCGGGTAAATGCTACATTGACCGCTCTTGCCACTCTATAGTGGTGTAGGGTTGGCTCCGATCAGGGGCCAGCCTCATTTCAGCAACATCCCCAAGGCCTGCATAAAAGGTATTCAAGTATAAATAAAAAGAAACGTTTGAGAAAAAAGCGTCGAAAGCGTACAGGATAAGCTTACCATGATTCTTGGCCTCCCATCGGCCCCTCGCTAAATCGCCCTACGAGTGCCCAGCATGTGTGGAAGTCGAAGCCAGCTTCCGAACCCAACTTTCGAGGTCCGAGATTGCTCCGGGCACCTAGGGAACCGCTATATCACAAAAAAAGACATGGGTGAGAAAAGATGCAGGTAAAGGAAGAGAAAAGAAACAAAGCAATCGACATAAGATATTGATGGGTTTACTTACGCTTCATGTTCCATTCCTCGGGGAATGTCATTTTCTCGGCCGGGATTGTGTCGGAGGTCCTCACTCGGACAAACCGGCTCATCCATCCATGATCCTTGTCCTCATCTACACTTGATAACAACACCTTTGTGGCTCAGCGGTGGATCCTTATTAATCCGCCCTGATAGAGACGGGGGATATACAATCTCATGAGGTGGTCGAGAGTAAATAGCATCCCTTCGACCTTACTCACGAAGAATCGGAGCAAGATGACAATACGCTAAAAGCAGGGGTGTAATTAGCCAAGAGTTATTCGGTACTTGCGGCAAAAGTCGATAATAACAGGACCGACGTGATGCAGCGTGAAAGTGTAAGTGTAAACACTAAGAAACCCTTCCACGTAAGTAGTTATATCCTCCTCGGGGGTTGGAACCACAACCGTTGCATTTTCCCAGTGGCAGTCTTTTTTCACCTGCTCGAGATCACCTTCAGTTATCGAGCATATGTATCTCGACATGGGCTCACAACGGCCAGGGACCGAAGATGGTTTTTCAATTTTGAAATCAGAAGAAAGGTTGCATGACCCAGAAATGCACTCTTCGATGCATGGCTCCACCGGCGTTTTATCACCGGGCGGCCGCGATGAAGAGGCCTTTTCCTTTTATGGGACGATTTTGGAGGTTTTCGCCATTAATTCAGGTAGAAGAAAGCGGAAACAGGTGAAACTTGGTATTCCTGACACTAGCAAAGTTGACTCGGCGGGGGTGAAAGAGAAGAGATAGAGAGAGTAAGAGAATTAGAAAACTTGGTGGAGGTGAAAGTAAAACTTTGATTCAACCAAAAAGCCTATATTTATAGATTTACGGCAACGGTTCGGTGGTGCTAGTGGCCGACCGTCCACTAGCAAGCATTAATGATTTGGGAAATTGTACCGGCGGGACATTTCGGTCACCTCAATCGCTTGCATCATGGGGTGACATCATTATCGGGGTCTCTAGATAATCGAGGCTCAAGTCATTTCTTATCATTTTATTCTAAGAAACAAGGGGACTATCGCTACCCGATTTCATTCTTTGGTCGAGGTGGGGATGTCGCGTCAAGGAGCTAGGACGTCGAGCCCGGAATCGAAGCCTCTTTTCGGACTGAGGTCGACGTCAATCGCGGCCAGAGAGAGACAGACTCCGTCTGACATCGGTATAGCTTGATAACGGAAAAGGCGAGATATCCACGATTGGTCGAGGATCGTGGCGTGAATCTCGGAATGGATCAATCCACGGCGATTAATTAGATGTTAATATGGTTTTCTACTATAATTAGAAGTGTACCTTATTTAGGACTCCTCTATTATATAAAGAGAGATCCTATTCATTTGTAATCATCATGATTCACTGATAAGAATATATACACTCGTTACCTTCCTGCTATTTCAATTACTGTTCATCATAGTTGCTGTTCTTATTGGCTAGCATACTGGTTTGACTTATTTTATTCTCTAATTTATTCATTTGTTTTCTTGCTTATCAATTGGTATTGGGTGGAATCACATATCCATACCACCACAATATAAGTTTAATTGTTATCCGAATTTGAGGGTAACCAATTTTCGTACTAGCCCATTTCGAAAAATGACACCTTTATAATGAAAATATTTTAACTTACTTCATGTTTTGTCTTGACGAACTTTTATAGCGACACAATTTTTATGACATATTTAAAATTAAAATTCCCATCATTATTTGATTTCTTCAGGATGCTTTAATCCCGTAGTCTTCCTCCCGATTCTCATGGTCTTAAAAAAAATTAAATATTTGTAATAGTCTTTATAGTTATCTGATGAGCTAAAAAATGTTTACACTGTAGATGGATACTAGTTAAGCTCAATTCTATCCACGCAAAGGTTATGATATATATATAATTAAACTCACAAAATTTTTAAAGAAAAAATCCGCTCAATTAGTGTCCAATCAATTACGCCATATAAGTTGAAACTGAAAGAGTTTTAATTTATAAAATGAATGTCCGAGTTAGCACAAGTAAATTAGATACACTCTAGTACTTCGAATTCCTATAATTTCTTTTCAGAAGCGAGTAATCTTTAAAGATAATGAGTAATAACTAACATAAGAAAGTATTTTCAAAAAATTGGTACTTAATAACTTACCATTTAAGTTAGTTGTATACTACCTCCCTTCATCATATAATGTTTTTTTACTTGTTCATTTTTGCAAATCGAGAGAGATCAATTTTTTTACTATTGTTGTTGTTGTATTGTCCTTTGTATTAAGTACTCACGCTTCTCTAGTTTTATTAGAGTTACAACTCTAATGACTATTAATAAGAATAATTTATTAAAAATAGATCCTTAATACAATAGAAGACTAATGATTGACAATTGAGCCAGCCATGAATCTCCCCTTCTAGAAAACAAATTGCCCCCTCCTTTGACTCAATTTACAATTCCAAACTGTTGAGGTGGCTTAACTCTCTTATCATACTTACCCACCAGTCTTATTGTAGGGTGACACATAATCCCCTACTTCACAACTTTCTCGCCATATGGTCAATTAACAATCACAAGAATCTCACAACAATTTTCAACTAATGCAAGTGCTTTTATTTGTTTAATATTGGATTAAGGCGTGCATAAATAAAAAGATATCAACATTGAATTCATATTATCGACCTAATTTATATGAGATTGAAATGTAATTGTCGTATCATAAAGAATTATTGTTACATGATTTTAATTTTCATGCATTAAAAGAAAATATTTATACAATCAATCACTTATTAGGTAATTACAAGTAAATATTTTAATAAATTATTACTCCCTCCGTTTCATATTAGATGAGGTACTTTCCTTTTTAGTCCATTCCAAAACAAATAACACATTTCTAAATTTGGAAATAATTCAACTTTAAACTCTTTTATTTTACCCATTTACCCTTAATGAGAAGCTTTTATAGCCACACAAATGTCATGGTCCCACAAACTTTTTACCCTTAAACTTTTTAGACCACAAGTTTCAAAAATCTTTCTTCTTTTTTCTTAAACTCCGTGCCGAGTGAAACCACCTCATTTAATATGAAACGGTGGGAATAATTTGTTATATGATAAAATTGATAACTAACTTGTTATTATATGGAGTATTAAATACGCTAATGAAAACAAAACATTTACACTGTCGTTTTAGGTAACAAAAAGAATATCAAATCTTTCAAATGGCAAGTACCCTCTTATTTATAGAAAAGGAAATAGTACTCCCTCCATTTTAATTTACGTGAACCTGTTTCATTGGGCACAGAGTTTAAGAAAAAATAAAATTTTTTAAAATTTGTGGTCCGAAACAAATCAAAAAGAGGACCAGAGTATTTGTGTGATTGTAAAAACTTCCCATTATGATAGAATTGAAAATTTAAGTCAAATTATTTCTAAATTTAAAAAGTGATCATTATTTTTGGAACAGACCAAATAGGAAATAGGTTTACGTGTACGTGATAGTAAACAATTTAACCAAACTCGTGAACAAGCCATCAACCACGTCGTCACTCTCATCATTCTTTCTCATATGAATACAAGGCCATACTTACCAAGAAGAAGAAGAGAGAAAACTTAGGTGTTGGTTTCCAAATATGAAGCTAAGGCAACAAGAAATGGAGCAGAAAAAGGGCAACAAAGAAGATGGAGTATTGGTCCATAGCCAAGTAAGAAAGATAAAGCAAGAAACGGAGAAAATCAATGATCATCCATCTCTGCAACAGCAACAGCAACAGGCAGAGAAGAAGACGGCACTTGGCGAGATCACTGGAAAACAACAGCAGCATAGATCACCTTTAGGCTTAGCTCTTAGAAACTAATAACTTCTAGAGCTTCATGTTTTTGGGGTTTTCTTCTACTTGTTCTTCTTTAGCTGTACAGAGAATAAATGTCACTCATGTCCCCTGTATAATTGCAAAAATAAAATCCTAGTTACGTTCTTCTTCTTTCCTTTAGTTTTACTTTTATTTTCTTGTAAGAAAATTGTTAGCATATTTACCAAGCAGTTTAACTTTAGCAAAGTGATACTACATATCACTTCAAAATGCATAACTTATGAAGGAAAAATAGGTAAATCGAAGATCTTGTTCATGATCTAATCTCTGCCTGTCATTTAAAAAAAAAATAAATAAATAGATACCATAATTAATCACTACAATTTCCAAAATTGGTGAAGGTAAAACTGAATATGGCATCCCCAAAATGCCAGAAGAAGCAGGCAGAAGATCTATGTGAGCAAGTTGTTGCCCTTAGTTCTTTTATGGGGCAGATTCCTTGGCAAGGAGTAACTTTACCCTCTTGCTAAGATCTCTCATAACATCCACAATGAGGGATTTCTTTTGTATTCTGAACTGGATAGCCAACTCAGTAGTAGGAGAAACATTTTGCTTCAGCAATGACTCGTCCTCCATGATTTTGGTTGGGAAGTGTCCAAGTGCAATTACGCACAATGCGACAATGGTACGAAGAGCAGCTACTTCAGTTGATATTCCCAGAGGGGCTTCGACTGTCAATGATTTGAGCATCTCCAAGTCGTGCTGCTGCACTGCTTCCTCATCATCTGATAGGACAACTCTCAATGCTGCTAATAATCGCCCCTCTACTAGCTCTCCACCTCCTAGTGTCACCTTTAACATAATCCAGCAAACAAAATCAGTTAACTCAAGAAACTAATTGCCTGCATAAACCGAGCTCATCGCTATAGTTCAGTAGAAAGGCTTTTCTTTTCTTAGCAAGTACATTTGTGCAATTTCACCATAGAAATAACATTGCTTCAAAAACAATAGTAGAACTTCACCGAACAGGATGAAAATAGATGAGAAGGAAAAGCATGAACCTTCAGATCGGAGTTTTGTCCGTCTAGATTTAAATGTGATAAAATCTGCTGCCGCAATGGAGACGGTGAAGAGAATTTTGGGGATGAAACCCCAGCAGCCATACTCGCAGCATCAAGAAGAGCACCATCGTATTTAAGTTCAATGCAGTCGTAGGGGTTTGATGGAATGACAAATCCATAGTCTAGAAGAAAAAGATCACTACTTAAACAGCCATAGTTGAGTAGCAACGGATCATTTTGCTTTATCTGCCTTCCTGCAACCACCTGTTAAGCGGAAGAAGAAAAAAAGAGCAAAAGAAAAGGCCAAGACAACATCAACCAAAATAGGAGATATACATGAACTTCACATGGAACAAAATGACACCTTCATCTATGACAAAAGAAGAACCAATCTATCAGTGCACATTTTCAAGTGAGATGCATGCGGTTAAATACCTTTACAAGCATATTCCTATTGCGGTTCTCTTCTTCCTGTACAATCTCAGCATTTGGATCAAAGCTGTGGTTGCACATATCAATAAGTGGAAGCATCATAGGAACATTACTGCGGGTACCATCAGGACGTTTACTGCCATGCAACCGGAATGCTCGAGATGAAACAGCTGACATAGCCCATCCTAGAGCAGATGATTCCACATGTTGGCCACCAAAAGGATGATCATCAGGTTTAAGATTTTCAAGTTCATGTTTCAGAATTTTATCAAATTCCAGTAAAAACCGGCATCTTTTGTTCACCTGCCAAATGAAAATGTTTACGAGTTTCAACATAGGGAAACATATAGAGCTTACATGCAGAGTTAGCTTAAAGGTTATCATGAACACTTGGCTTTTTAATTCAAAACAATCTGGGAAGTCCCAAGTCAATTTGAGATTTCTAATTGCATTTTTATGTACTGATCTTCGGGAAAGAAATTTTAGCTTCAACTGAAGTTACATGAAAGATAAGCCCAAACCAGGAGAAAATCAGCAGGATAAAAACAGCTAAAATTTCATCGTTTGGTGAAAAACTTCTAAAGTAATACTTCCGCTGAGAAAAGGAATTCAGCATGTATTGATAAAAAAAGGGTATTCAGCATATCCCTGCAATACCTGATAAAGAATAAGGAAATACAAATCCCAAAAGAAGTTTTGGCTAGTGTCAACTTAAATGCACGAAAGAGAAGCCCAAGCCCCGGAGAAAATCACCAGGAACAGAACTGCTAGAATTACTACTGTTGGTAAAATCCTTTTAAAGCATTATTTCCATTGGGAAAAACGTATTCAGCATATCCCTGCAATACCTGGTAAAGAAGAGGGGCATACTGCAAGTTCTTTATATCCTCGCCAGGAAAGAAAATCGGCACTGTGTAAGTCTCTGGGAGATTGCTGATGTACGGCCACCAGAAGGAACCTTTTTTTGCTCTCTCTTGCAGAAGCTTCAAACCCAATTTCATGGCCCACAGCTCCTCTGCCAAATGCTCCAAGTTTCCAGTTTACTCCTTACATTAGATACTCAAAAGCCTAATTTTATAGAAATTTAGTTACCAACCTATACTGAGACAGAACCACTATTCCTAATAGAGATCAGAAGGGTTATCAACAGCATAGAATTTAGCCATCTAATCTGATAAAAAGACCAATTTTATTGAAAAGCGACAGAACAGAACAGAATAGCAAGAGTAAATGACAATGAATGATTTGCAAAATAGATAAGCAAGCAACAAAAGTACAAACCGCTGGAAACCAGCGAATAGAGCATAGAGTTTTCTCTTTTTTCTTTCTACTTTGACAAGGCTACAAAAAAATTTAGTACGTTTAAGAAAAGAACTGTATGTGTGTGTGTATATAACATATATGCCAACTGTATAAGGTATTATGGAAGTTAGCAAAGAATCCACATCATACAATCATCAATTACGGCCATATCTATTTGAATTGTTAAGGACACATGCATGGGACAGTAAGCATATTCATTTTGCTAACACTGACCTACCCTACTCAAATTTCCCCTTTTCTGATCTGTCTCTTTTGTTAGAGTTTAACTGACCGTGTTCATCTAAGAATTGATCCCCTGCTGATTGCTTATTTTATAGCTAAAAAGTGGTCACACTCTAGTCAGCACTCATGGTACTATCTTAGACAGGCATTTGGGTGGAATAAGTGACTAGAAGACTGGTTATGAGAGGTTAAGGCAAGGGGCAACATCCCCAGCGGACTTGGTACCTCATGTCAACATGCCAAAGAAAGACATTTTAACCCAAGAGCGTCGTCTAGGACTTGCAATGGCTTGTCAGAGATATGATTTCTCATAGCTGGTGCCCAAGCCGAAAGATTGCGCGTAGCCAGCAGACATGGTGCCGCAATTCCGGCGTCATTCGTTTTCTCAACTACACCTTAGATTGTACTAACCTTCTCGATTATGTGGACTGCAGTTCCTCCTTACTGGAACCTTCCCTTTCTCCATTTATCTGCCATCAGTCCTTAGTTCTGTAATTACACTCATGTAACATTATATGGTCACTTTTACTGACATATCCCATGTTGGCACCTTGACCTTCAGAATTCAACTAGGTTGTGCCGACAGCAGTCCTGTTAGCTTGTGGAAGCTTCAATCCTGTCACCCCTAACAATAAGGTGCAATCTGGTTTTTGGATTTGGCGAGGGATAAAGGGAGATAGGGTTAGGCAGAAGTCTTAGGCTGGCATATGGTTCTAAGTTTGAGGTCGAGACTAGAATCCAAACTAATTAGCTTGGCTTTTGTTACCGAAAATTTTAAGTAATCCTATTCCCAAGAAAAATAATTCAGAGGACGGTGGTTGAATAGCTAATCCAGTTCCATCTGGATTACTTTCAATTACACCCCTAGCCTCACAACACTTTATTATCTTTACTTTTTACTCATTTGTAAGTCGTAACATCTTTTGAATTTCAATTTACAATTACTTTATTTGTGACATACAGACATCAAATTGCGATCAAAATATTCGTTCAAGCTATAACCAATACCTTAATCCCTTTGCATTAATACAGGAAAAGAATTATCTAATATATTCATAGTTCCCTCATTATCAATCCCTCCTAAGCCAATTTGATGCCTACATTGAGTGGTGACGTATCTCCTTTTTTTTTTTTAATAAATATCCCAAGGTGATTGTGATCCTCCTTACCTTATAATCAAGCCAAGCATTATTTGAGGGAACTACGGATATCTTACAAACAAACATCTTCACTGGAACATAGTGCTTCGGTTACACAAATACCCCGACCAATCTATATCTCATTGTTAACTAGATACAACGCTCACTGTATGAAACATTACTGTCAAAGTCAGCAGAGTTGATATTCAAATATATCCCAATTAGATCACTCAACCAATACAGATGTAGAATGTGCATTACAGAATAGTTAATCCACTAATCAAAGAATCTGTAACAGGGACCTTTTTCTTTCCTATTTTCTTTTCCAGTAGAAAAAGGGAAACCCTTTTACTCTGCCTATATGAGTATTAAAAGCCATATCCAGTCCTAGACTAGATAAGGGAGGAAGCTTGTGGTAAATTTACAGCCTGGTAAAAAATAGTCTAGTTATAGTAAAACTCTAAAACAAATTAACCTTAATAGATCAGAATGATACAAAGGTTTGAGTGATTATATAGTCAACCGGGACTTGTTTGCTACTAATGTGTAGTTACTATATAAAAAGGAAAATCTTTCAAATACATTACATGCTTTCATAAGTTAGATAGCTGTGGTGGGTTCATTATCAGCTTAAAAATTAAAAGGGAAATAATCTAATTATCATGAAACATATAAAAAATCAGCCAAATGCATATAGAGGATTATATAGTCGAATCCAACTAGTTTCAAAATGAGAAAGGAATGTGAACAAGGAAAACTCCATACCAGGAACATGTTGAGCTAATTTTATCAAAGCAGAATGGGCACCAGCATCAAGTGAAGTTTCTGCTTCTAAAGACCCAAATTTGAGGGGAATATGTTGAGGAAGGGAAATAATATCAGACCCTTTTGGGATATCCTCAGAAGCAACTAAGCCAAGGCCAAAGGAGTCTCCTTGTGATATTTGTACGGATTTGTGAACAAACCCACCTTCGCTTTTGACCCATTTGATGAGGTCTGGTGGTTGTGGCACTAGCCGTGAACCGGCGGCGGCGGCACAAGTGAGAGGACAGACGTGTGTTAGGGAGTTGGCCATTAGCATCATTTTGGTTGACATTCTGCTGAATTTGCTATCTGATGAGTCCCCTTTTGTTTTGAAAGTGGCGATGGGAAAGGAAGGGGAAAATGGGAGCACAAAGTCTGAAAGCAAGACTGTTTTGTTGGTTGGCTGTGGGGTGAGAAAATGGAGAAGATTTTTCTATCAAGGCTAGGGGGGTTCAAAATCCATCCGAAATCGAAAACGGAACCGAATCAAAACTTAATAGCTTACTGGTAACGGCTTAACGGACAGGGAATAGATTGGATTTTTTTTTATTAACGGCTTAACGGTTTGGCGGATTATTCAATTTTCTTAACGGATATCCGTTAACCCGTTAAGAATATATATATATATATATATATAAAATTTATTTTTATTTATATACATTAAATATAAAAAAACTAAACCCCTTGAAAATGAATAACAAAAACAAACCCGTCTGTTCTGTCTCTAAACTCTAAAGTCTAACCCATTCTTAATTCCTAATTCCAGAGAAACCCTAACGCCTAAACCAGCAGCCACCGCCCACCGGCCAATAGCCCTCGTCGTCGTCGACTTCCACCAGCCACCGGTCTCCCTCTCGCCGTCTCGTCTCTCCCTCTCGCGAGTCGTGGCTTCTTATCTTCTTATCTAGGTACTCTTATTTATGAATAAGATTTTTTGATTTTTGCTGGGACTTTAAAGAGGAGTATTTCTCACAAATTTCAACTACAGTAGAGGTGCAATCTGAGGCAACTCAAGTAGTTGAAGAAGTTGTTGTTGATTTTGGTAATTTTAGGGTTTTCTTCTTCGTCTTCATTTCTCTGTTCTTATGTTTTGTACTGTGCAAATTAATCGTATTTGAAATTTTCTTGTTTGTGAAGTAATTTATGTAATTTATATCAGATACACTATATTAGATATGTTGGATTTAGGCAAATTTGAAAATTATAAAGTTTAATTAGTAAGTTTAAAATACAATTACACTATTTCTTTGTTATAAATGTGTTCCACTTAATACAGATATATAATACATTCTTTAAAAAATTTAAATGAACTGGTAAAATTGTAACCACTTCTTTGAATATGCATCCGTCGGCCGACAAAATTTAAATGCCCTGGGTTCTATTTATTTGAGTAACTGCATTTCTAAAAATGGAGGCTCTATTCTAGTCTTTGATTAACCGCATTTCAAACTAGGAAAAATAATTTTTGTGGTCATATTACTGCTACTGACATCTTTGAATTTTATCGAATGTCCACAATTATGGCTAGTTGTTTTGGTTATAGTCCCAGTAAAGAATAAGAAAACTAGATACATCCAACAGATTCAAGTTTTGGATTATTTCGGTTTAGGCAGAACAGTCTTTTGTGCTCTACGATGAGGACCTTTGGGTGCAAATCTCACCTACAGTCTAGGTGTTTTGGTTGTATTAGAAGCCAAAGGATCTGAATCCATGAGAGATCAATCCAGTAAGCTTCTGTCACAAAAGAAACAAGAATGCAAAGTTTTAACATGATTAGTTTAATAACCAAATACGATTAGTTTACAACTTGATGTCTTTATTCTCATTCATTTTCTTTTCTTGTTGCAGTGACTCATATATGGCTGAAAATATACAAAGTGATAAAGTGATGATGGGTGAAAGTGGGGCTTCTAATTCAAATGCAACAAGTCAAGCTCAAACAACGGAGTCAAATATAACCAAAAAAAGGAGAAAAAGATCTGTTGTGTGGGATCATTTTACGGATATTATTACTTCTGAAGGGAGTACAAAAGCAAAATGTGACTATTGCTTTATTGAGTATGTATTTAAGACCAAAGACAGTACGTCGACACTTCTTTCTCATATGCTTAAGTGTCCTAAACGCCCTGCTATTGTTGATAAAAAAACAATTAAATTTAGGCTTTCAATCTGTTCCGGGGGTAGTCAGGGTGACGTAGCTGTTGTTACTTGGAAATTTGAACAAGAAGAATGTAGGAAAGCATTATGCCGTATGGTAATAGTTGATGAGATTCCTTTTAGCTTTGTTGAGAAAGAAGGTTTTGGAGACTTTATGAAAGTGGCGCAGCCTTATTTTCGATCCCTTCCCGTAGTACTGTAACTAGGGATTGTTTTGATCTTTTTAATGAAGAAAAGCAAAAGTTGAAAAGGTTTTTTATAGAAACAAAACAAAGAGTATGTATTACCACTGATACCTGGACATCTATACAAAGAATCAATTACATGTGTATCACTGCCCATTGAATTGATAGTGAATGGAATATGCATAAGAGAATAATTAATTTTTGTCCTATTGTTAGTCATAAAGGCGAAGATATGACAAACGGTATTGGTAGGTGCTTACGTGAGTGGGGGATAAATAAGATCTTCACTGTCATAGTTGATAATGCAAGCTCAAATGATGTGACAGTAAAAGAATTATCTAAGCAATTAACAAAAATGGGAACTAATTTGATGAATGGTACTCACCTTCACGTGAGATGTATGGCTCACATCATGAATATTGTGGTCCAGGATGGTTTAAAAGAATCTTCAGTACCTACTGAACGTGTTAGGCATGCAGTGAGATATGTTAGGAAGTCTCCTGCGAGGTTGAAGAGGTTTCAAGAATGTTTTGATGCTGAACAACTCAATTCTAAGAAAACTTTATGCTTAGATGTTCCAACTAGATGGAATTCCACCTACTTGATGTTGCGCAGGGCTGTTGAATTTGAAAGTGCATTTTCACATTATGCTTCTAGTGAAATTGGCTTGAGACATTATCTTGAGCATTCTTATATTGATGTTGGAATTCCTACAGGTGAACTTTTGAGTAGTGAAAAAAAATTATAAAGTTTCTTGAAATCTTCTATCTTCTTACTTTGAAGATATCTGGATCACGTTATGTTACATCGAATAATCATTTTCTTGAAATTTGCACAGTTGCTGTCTATTTGAAGCAATTGATAGCAAATGAAGATATAGTTTTAAGTGAAATGGCAAAGAATATGAAAGAAAAGTTTGATAAGTATTGGGGTGATCCAGGGAAAATGAACAAGATAATTTTTATCTCATGTATTTTGGATCCACGTTACAAGATCGAATCAGTTGCCTTTGCACCTGTAAGATGTTTGGTGTGGATCTGGAGGCAACTATACAAGCAGAAGTGACGAAGTACATGACTTCATTATTCAGTGAGTATGTAAAGTCCAGCTCAAAAGGTGTTGTGCTTGCTTCATCTTCAGATTGTTCTTCATTGGACACTTCGACTTCCGGGCTTTCTGGCAGTCAAGCAAGCACCCAAAATATAGGACTTTTAGAATCACTCATGCAAGATATAAAAAAAATATAAAAGTGGGAGTGGAGGTGTTGATACTAGAACAGAGTTAGATAAATATTTAGGTGAAGAAACTGAGGGTGATACTAAAGAATTTGATGTTCTTCTTTGATGGAAATTGAACTCAGCTAGATTTCCAATTCTTGCGGAGATGGTTCGTGATGTATTAGTTGTTCCGGTTTCAAGTGTGGCATCCGAATGTGCGTTTAGTATGGGAGGACGTCTTCTTGATTCATTTAGGAGTTCATTAACTCCTAAATTGGTGCAAGCTCTAGTGTGTCTTCAAGATTGGCTTCGAAATGAAAAATTAAAACAACCCATTAGTGTTGAGGAAAATCTTGATAAAATCGAGCAGCTTGAACAAGGTAATAATATTGTTACTATATTTGTTGTATATAAGTGTTGTTGATATGCTTATATTTATCGCACGATTCATTATTTTAATTTTTTTTTCTTCAGATTTAGCCAGCAATGGAAAAGACCCTTCCGTAATTGACGTGTAGTGTTAATATATTTGGTAAGATTATTCATCAGCTACTCTGCCTATTCCTTGTTTTATTTGGAATTAGAGGTGCATAGAAACAATGCTGCTCTTTCAAACAATTTGTTCTGTGACTGCCCATTTTAACTGCTTATCATTGCTAAGTAGGTGAAGTTTTTTCGCATATATTTGTACATGCTATCATAGTCTGGCTAAATCTGCATATTGACTTCACCAGCATTGCGTGTGAAACCTGCAAATCCTATTGTTACTGTAAGGTCCTACTTTTTGATGAAATTACATGATTATGTTTGTCTGCTTTAGATGACTTTCTGATGATCAGCAATGTCTTCTTGCACGCGCTCTTTAATATTATGTTCGTCATCCAAATGCAGGCCGTGGCACCAATTTTCTCATTGGTTGCACCTACGTACCGGTTCAAAGGTTCTCACAAATGGGGGATTCCTATTTCAAGGGATCCTACAGCACTGGTGGCCAAGTATTCTAATCCTCCAGTCCTCCATGGAACTGCTGATAGAGTTACTGATCCGTTGGCTTCTCAAGATCTGTTCAATGATGCACAAGAAGTTAGGTGCTGGAAATCTTGCAAATGTGTATAGTCAGTGTTATCTTTGCAAATAGTTAGTGTTTTGATTGATCAGGGGTTTTAAGGGTTGCTATGATATGAGATGAAGCTATACTTACTAATTTACTATGCTGGATTTGTTTCCCTTTTTCTCTTCTAGTGGTAATGAACCTTTTCTGCTGGATAAACATTTGAATTTGAGATTTGAATGACTTCAGTAATCAGTACGACAGTACCTAGTTCTAGTTGAGGATAATCTAGATATTGGTTTTATTTTTTTAATGAAAGGCCAACTGCTACTTAGCTTTCTTTTGTCTTGTTCCGCTTTTGAAGGTGTTCATCGACATTAACAAATGTTAAAGGAGAATAAGAAACAGTGTTCTCAATTGCTTTTATGGTGTTAAACTTACCTTTGCATTGCTTCCGATTCATGCTCTATAATCAGTTCAGCTATTTCATGTCCAACAGGGAAAACACAATTTAGTGAATATGTATGTTAGGCCGATAAACCGCCCGATAAGAGCTAAACCGATACCAATCCGCCCGATATCTTATCGGGTGACTAACGGATTAATACATTTAAAAGCCGATAACCGTTAAGCCAAACCGTTAAGAGTAAATAACCGCCTAATCTGCCTGATAAGCAGGCCTAATTAAGGCAATCATTTTTAATAGCTGTAGAGTTAGGGTGAACTTGCTTACAGGTAATGGCTTAATTGTTTGACTATCAACTGAGCTCTATTTATGAAATCTAAATCAGATTTTATAAAGGCATAACTAAATTTACAATTAAGATTTAAAAACCTTGATAATTTAATTTTATAAGTAAATCAAGCTAATTTATAATAAGTAAGTGTGTGGGTAAAAAATTATCTCTAATATGATTAAATCATGTTAGCATTAAGCAGGCATACACAGGCTACCATGTGTCACCAATACGACTCCAATTTCTAGAAATAATGAAGGTTGATGTCGAAGAGTCAGCAAGGATCAAGGTCGAGGTCGAGCATCCTTGATAGAGTTATAATGACTAGTTTCGAGATAGGACACTAAAGAGTATTCTAGTGGAAATTCTCTACACCTGTACTATTATGGTTTCTAGAAATATATTACTTATAAATAGAAAGAGACACAATGACAGGGGAGATGGGGATATTCATTTGTAAAAATACATTGACTTTGTAGAAATAATTTGGCCCTATTACAAGTATACAAAAACAACCTTTTTACTAAGATTCTTGTCTAGCATTTTCACTAGATCCAAGAACAACCTGAGTGTTCAAAGGCTCAGAAATCATTCATCATTGTGAGAAAGAATATCCACAGATCTCACTATTTTCAGGTGACTCACACATTTTTATTTACTTAAATGTCATTCATTGTTATTTATTATTATTTAATGCCATCTTCCATCTTTTAGGATCATTGAATACTGTTATTATTGCTCACATTCATTACCATCCGGACAAATATACATGTTATTTATCATAAAACTGATAACTTTGTCTTTAGGATATTATTATTAGCTAAGATTGACTCTTCTTTATTCAAATCTAATTGGTTAAAACAAGATCTATATTTTGGGTCAACCAGTTTGGCACCGTCTGTGGGGACTTTTTAGCTAATCTTTTAGTTTCCTTTAGATCTACAACCCACGTGAGTCATTAACCTAAAAAACCGGAAGATTTTTCTCTTTCCATGAACGCTATCAACAAGAGCTGTGAAACGTTGGGCGATGACGTGACCTACTGCCTCCCCCAGGCGCGAGAGGTCGCCTCCCCTCCATTATAACATAACAAAACCACATGAAAAAGGGGCCTCCACGTCCACAGGAGAGGGGACGCCACCAGCCATGAAAAATCTCCTCGAAGCATGGTTGACCGATACGCTAGTAAGGGTACTCAACAAACCTACTCCATGCATGACTACAGAGACCGCAAGAGCCCATGCAGTACAACGGAAAGACAAATAGGGCGACCAACCAAACCCTCCAACACCAGGTATAACTCACAATGTTACTAATAAAGCAGGTGACAATGTCCTCACCGCTGTTCTAAAGAGGTTGGAAGAAATGGAGAACGAAAAGAAAGCGCTCAGAGATCAAATGAAATACCACCAAGAACGAGTTGACAAGATATCGAGCGCCCCCAATCTACTGCCAAAGAGGGACGTTAGAAGATTCGTAGAGCAGGCGTACAACAAGGAAGCAGCCTCATATGCCATACCAAAGACCTTCAAAATGCCGTTGTATCTCAGGATATACGACAGAACGATTGACCCCGAAGATCACGTGACTCATTATGTCACCGCCACGAAGGGCCACGACCTCACCAAGGAACAAATGTCCTCTATTTTGCTAAAGAAATTCGGCGAAACCCTTATGGGAGGGGCACTAACATGGTACTTACAACTACCAACCTACTCCATGGAAACCTTCAAAAAAATGGCTGACAAGTTTGTAACGGCGCATGTTGGAGCCAAGAAAGCCAAAACAAGAGTAAATGACATGTTCGCCATCAAGAAATCCTTGGGAGATGGACTGAGGGACTTCCTTGCCCGATTCAACAGGGTAAAGATGACTCTACTAAATGTGTACAAGGGGATGGCAGTCGCAGCCTTTCAGAACGGGTTGAGTAGAGATGTCTTAAGAGCGATCAGAAAATTGCTGAGTCGGTTGATAAAATATCCTCCAACCACTTGGGATGAAATCCACAATGCTTACTGTGCCGAAGTCCGAGCAGACGACGACAATCTAAACGGACCAACTCGACGGCTCGTCTCAGTACAAGCCAAGCCCGGGAAAGAATGAAGAGACAACATAAAGAGGGATCACCCGATCTTTCCGCTATGATGAAGGTCTATCCTGGCCGAGAACGAGGACTCACCGGAACGAGAGAGGTATGCCCCCTTATTATTTGCTCATAATTTTTGTGTGTCACTTACAGAAATAGTCTATACCCTGGAGAAACTCGGAAAGAAGGTAAAGTGGCCGCCAAATATGAGGTCTGATCTAAGCACCGAAAAATTCGATGCACTCTGCAAGTTCCACCAGGAGTGCGGACACAAGACAGAAGACTGCATCGCTTTCAGGCAAGAGGTTGTGAACATGCTGCAGCTGGGACACCTCAAAGATCTGCTGAGCAGCAAGGGGAGAAATAACTTCGCCAGAGGACGTGAACGCCTAGGCCCGCCAAAGCCACCATCACCAGCTCGCACTATTAACATAATCATCGGCGGCGGCGATGATGCCTCCATCAATGGCGTTAAATTCACTGCCACTCACAAGCTCAAAAAATCTATCACCCGTGAATGGAATGACAGACTCGAAGAAAGTATCATCTTCAACGAGTTAGATGCTGATCGTTTGACTTTCCCTCACAATGATGCCCTCGTCATTGCTTTGCACATTTTAGATACTGATGTTAAACATATGATGTTGGACGATGGTATGTCTGGCCTTAGGTTGAAAGCAGTGACGAGCTAGAACATAGGTCGGGCCCAACACCAATAACCAATAGCAGTTCATAACAGCGTAGAGCATATATAGATAAGGAAGTAACTCAGAGATAAAATGCTCAGCTTTTCACAGTTTTTCGAAAATAGTTCCATTTTTCAAGAATATCAGTGAAGACTCAAATCCTTTACCGAAATTGTCGTAAAATATGAGATAGTTTGAAAACTGTAATTTTTCTAAAAATCCTTTTCACAATAAATAAGATGTTTCATTTTCAGATAGCATGATAGCAATTGTGAAATACCTCTCTATGACCACATTTTAATGTGTGCAAAAAGTCATGAATGACGTGATACCGTACAACATGAGGAAAAATGCATCTCTATGCATGTATGTCTTGTGTGCATGCAAATGCCATGTACCTCAGAGATGAATCATGTACTCACACTCTCAGAGTACTCAACCTCATTGTCTCACACTTCTCACTCATCATGCTCAACCACTCGGTACTGTATATGGCCAATAAAGTCCAGGGAAGATCCATCCCGAAATATGTACATCACTGACCATCAGTCACTCAGTACCGAGGAAGGCTAATTCGGCCCCATGGAAAAGATCCATCTCCAAGCATATAACTGCTTCGGACAAGATCCATGTCTAGGGAAGATTCATCCCTCAAAATAATCAACCGCGCTCATTGGGTGTGCAGACTCCGGAGGGGCTCCTTCAGCCCAAGCGCTATAATCTGCACAAGAAACTCACGTGCTGCAAGGACAACTCACGTGTTATAGTATCAATATCAGAATCCTCACTGACAACTCACGTGCTGCACATACAACTCACGTGCTATAGTATCAATAACCTCACAATTAGGCCCTCGGCCTCACTTAGTCATCAATTTCTCCAGTCTCACTCACGGGCTCACAATGTCATGAAACTAGCCCGACAAAAATGATATGATGTATCAATAAACAACAACTGAGACTGCGATGTGATATGAATACATGAATATGACTGAGTACAAAATACCAATGAAATCAGTAAGATGACAGTAAGAAACGGCCACTATGGGTCCTAACAATATCAGCATAAAGCCTAAACACGATATCTAGCATGATGTACAACTCAATTACTTTAAACATGGTGAAAACACAGATATCAACAAAGTAGGGCCACTATACAGTGCAATGAAGGCAACAAAGTCACCATTCACAGGGTGCACGCCCACACGCCCGTCACCTAGCATATGTGTCTTCTCGGAAACAATCATATAGCACATAATTCGGGGTTTCATAACCTCAGCACTAAGATTATAAGAGTTACTTATCTCAAACAAGCCAATTTCAAATACCGAGCAAGCCAAGCGATGCTCCAAGAATGCCATCCCACGCGTTGCGACCTCCGAACGGCTCAAAACTAGCCAAAAACAACTCAAATACATCAGCTAAAGCCCAAGGAAGCTATTACAAATGATAAAGATCAAATCCTAAATCAAATTCTAAATCCGTCCAAAAAATCACAGCTGGGCCCGCACCTCGAAACCCGACAAAACTCACAAAATCCAACAACCCATTCAATTACGAGTCCAACCATACTAGTTTCACTCAAATCCGACTCTAAATCGGTGTTCATGACTCAAGAATTCATATTATGAAACTTAAGGCCAAAACCCCCAATTTTCCTCTTTAAAATTCATCAACCAAATGCTAAATCGAAGATAGATTCATAAAATATAACCAAAACCGAGTAGAGAACACTTACCCCAATTCATATGGTGAAAATTGCTTCACTCCATATCTCCCAAAATGCAAAAATGGATGAAACCCTCGAAATAGAGTACTTTATAATCTGCCTAGGCCTCCTCTTTCGTGAACGCGGGACAACTATCGCGTTCGCGATGAATAAAAATATCAGCCACCGAAAATGCTCTACGTGTTCGCGGCACCAGCCTCGCGCGCGATACGCACTAGATACAGAACTACGCGAATGTGGCCCAAGCCTCACGAACGCGATGAAGAAAGGTCCTCCTGCCCAGTTCCTAGTTCGACTCTACGCGAACGCGGTAACCCATACGCGAATGCGAAGAAGTCTTTCCCTAACACTACGCGAATGCAGGACACACTTCGCGATCGCGAAGAACAATTTGTTGCTGCCATAAGAATACACTACGAGTTCGCGATACATACCATGCGAACGCGATGAAGAAATGTGACACCAGATACCAGCAGAACACAGCAGTGCAAGATGAAGGAAAAATAGCCTGAAATCAATCCAAAATACGCCCGAGCCCCTCGGGGCCCTGTCCAAATATACCAAAAAGTCTAATAAAATAACATGGACCTACTCAAGGCCTCAAATCATACATAACAACATCGAAACGATGAATCACACCTCAATTCGGAATCAATGAACTTGAAATTTTAAACTTCCACAACCGATACCGAAACCTATCAAATCACGTCCGATTGACCTCAAATTTTGCACACAAGTCATAAATGACATAATGGAGCTATTCCAATTTCCAGAATTGGATTTTGATCCCGATATCAAAAATTCTACTCCCGGTCACACTTTCCAAAATTTCAACTTTTGCCAATTCAAGCCAAATTCTGCTACGGACCTCCAAATCACGATCCGGATGCGCTCCAAAGTCCAAAATTGCCCAATGGAGCTAATGGAACCATCAACAATCTAATTCGTTGTTAAACTACAAAGTCAAAACTTGGTCGAACCTTTCAAATTTAATGCTTCTAGCTGAGAATCATTCCTCCAAATCAATTCCTAATAACCTAAAAACTAAAATCGATGATTCACATGAGTCATAATACATCATATGGATCTACTCATGCCCTAAAACAACCGAGCGAAGTGCAAATGGTCAAAATAACCGGTCGGATTGTTACATTTTCCGTGGTGTTTGATTGAAAAAATAACATTTCCAGAACACTTATGATGATCAAAACTTTAAAAAAAACCTGAAATAATTTTCAAATATTTAGCTTCATAAAAAATCTTAACACTAACTGCCTTATCCATGTTACACTAAAGCCTGAACTAAAATCAAAATGCATCAATACAATACATGTACCTCTATTTTAGACTAAATAGCATTCTAAAATGTCCTCTATCAATTAACAGAAAATCACTCTAACAAACAGGATAATCTTTTATTGCTTCTTATTGATCTATTGTTGTAACTTGTGAAAGATGATTCTTTTATACCTTTTTTCCCAAAGAAAAAAGGAAAAGAAGATATTGAAAAACACTTACTCTTTTCATTACAGTTAAAGGTACACGACCTAATCTCTTATGCCACAGGGCTACACTTATTCTGTTATTCTCTATGGTATTTACAGTGAGAGACTTTGGAGGTGAGCCTGAACTTCTTGTAGCAGACGCACTAGAAACTTCCCTTATTACACTTTCAGAGGTGAGTACATACAGTCCACTGTCTTCTCTACCAATCCCCTTCACTTGTCCATTGAAGAGATCCCGAAGATGCAAAAGTTAGGAAAGAATATAACTACACACCTTAACTCCTTTGTAATTTTTGAGACAGATAAGAGATTGTATGATAACTCAGGAATGTGTAACACATTAGTTATCCCGTGACCAGGAAATATATATGTGGAGCCTATGTGTTTCACTATAGCTACATCTCCTGTGGGTAGACAGACTTTTCCTTCTTTAGAATTTCCCAAAGTTTTCAAGTCAAACAACATGTCAAGTCTATGTACCATATGATTGGAAGCTCCAGTGTCAATTATCCACTTAGGTTTATTTGTAGGAATAGTTACACTATGTGCCATACTTGCTGCCATAGTTGAACCAATGTTTTCATTCCTTTTTCCCAGCATTTGCATGATTTAATTGTATTGCTCCTGTGTAAACCGATGGATTCATCCTATAGCAACTTGATTGTTAGAAGGATTGATCACTTGTGAAGAGACTGATGGATTTCCAGAAGAAGTTGCAAGGTTGATTGGAGTCCCATATGTTCCTCTAGTAGGGTTGTTGGAAAGTTGAAGATGTTTAATTTGTTCATTCTTCAACTTGAAGGGAGTGTTGAAACTACAGGAGGTTGAACTTAAGGTACTATCTGTTATGCACCACTAGTTGGACTTTAACTGATCTTGTAAAGTCAATTGTGATAGTCGGTAAATGAAGTAGTTGGTTTGGTAATGAAAATAGTTTTTTTTTTTAGGTTGAGCTTGAGTAGTACAAACAGAGTTGTACAGTTATTTTTAAATACAGTTGCCAGTTGAAATAAAAATGATTCCCAAATATTCTTAGCTCTTTCTCTTTTTGTTCTAGCTTTTTCTACAGGTTGTTACCTCCATTCATAGATCCAATTTTTAATAAGAAGATCAATCAATAAAGAAAGTTTTCCATTTCTTTTTCTTTTGGGTCACAACACGCCTTTCTTTAAAAATAACAAAATCAAGGAGGTCCAAAAAACAAACGATTACTGTTATGGTTTAATGGAAAACTCGCATAATTTGAAAATTCAAAAAGGGCCATTAAGGCGTATAAGGTAGACCAGATCAGAAAGCTATCGTAGTCAAGATAATAAAAATACCAAAATTGGAAGATAAATAAATATAGCAACCGTTTTTGTGTCCGTTATGTCCAACGTTATGAGGAACGTTAATATCATCTCTGTTAATAACAGCCCTTATTAATTGACGAACAAAAAAGTAGTCGTAATTAATTAAATTATTTAAATACCAAATTTGAAAGAAACCAAAAAGTGGCCGCGCCCACTATAAAACGTTTTCCACAAGCAAAGATCTAAGAACTGAATTATAATATAGGGTGTGTTTGGACATTTTTTGGAAAATATTTTTCAATTTTCCCATGTTTGGTTGGCTTAAATATTTTGGAAAACATTTTCCTTATCAACTCATTTTCCTTCAATTGGAGGAAAATATTTTCCTTATCAAGAGAAGGGAAAATATTTTCCAAAACTCCTTCTCAACCTTCCCCACCCTATCCCCCAATCCACCCCCACACCCCCCACACCCACCCAC